GGAGGGGTGGGGCTGATTGAAGTGTGTGTGTGTGTGTGCGTGTTGCAGCTTCCTGGACCGGCTGGACTCAGTCAGGAGGACGGACTACACCCCTACCGACCAGGTAGCAAACCGACCAATCAGCTGCCAGCATTCGGGATGACAAATCACACTGAACAACGTGTTCTTCTTCTCTTGCAGGATTTGTTGCGCTGCAGAGTTTTGACTTCTGGCATTTTTGAGACCAGGTTTCAGGTCGACAAGGTCAACTTCCAGTGAGTGTTTAGACCCGCCCCCTCCGTCCACCTGCACCAATCACATGTCAGAACACAAACAAAACAGCATCAACAGGAAGTCGCCATGTTTCTGTAGTCTGACAGGAAGTCGCCATGTTTCTGTAGTCAGACAGGAAGTCATCATGTTTCTGTAGTCAACAACTGCTGAGTCACCATTCACCTGTGTAACACACCTGTCCATCCCCCTCAGCATGTTCGATGTCGGTGGTCAGCGGGATGAACGCAGGAAGTGGATCCAGTGCTTCAACGGTGAGACACACACGGGTTCATTCACACAAATAAAATGCCTGTTTGTGGTTCTGACCACCTGTCTCACTGCTCAGATGTGACGGCCATCATCTTCGTGGCGGCGAGCAGCAGCTACAACATGGTGATCAGAGAGGACAACTCCACCAACCGGCTCAGGGAGAGTCTGGACCTCTTCAGGTCCATCTGGACCAACAGGTTCTGCTCTCTGATTGGCTGTAGTGAACCCTCTCTGCTCTCTGATTAGCTGTAGTGAACCCTCTCTGCTCTCTGATTGGCTGCAGGTTCCTGAAGACCATCTCAGTCATCTTGTTCCTGAACAAACAGGACGTTCTCGCTGACAAGATTCTGGCTGGAAAATCCAAACTAGAGGATTATTTCCCCGAATACATCAACTACCAAGTACCTGCTGAAGGTACAAATATACAGATACATATAAATATATGTGCCTGTAATATACAAACATCCTGTGTGTGTGTGTGTGTGTGTGTGTGTGTGTGTGTGTGTGTGTGTGT